TTCTATAGGGTTTCTATAGGGTTCCATAGGGTTCCATAGGGTTCTATGGGGTTTCTATGGCCCCCTCCCCCCCCCGTTCCGGCTCCGGAAGCTCCGGCCGGGTCCCGATAACGGGGAGGAAACGGGAGCGCTAATTATGGGTTAATTACGAGGTTAATTAAGGAAAGAGTCGTTATCGGGGCTTCCTGGGGGGCCCTCATGGGGCTAATTACAGGGTCAATTACGGGTTAATTAAGGAAAGAGTCATTACCAGGGGTTCATTACAGGGTTAATTAAGGAAAGAGTCGTTACCGGGGGTTAATTACAGGTTAATTAAGGAAAGGGTCGTTGTCGGGAGAGTGGTGGGGGGTTCGTTCTGGGGTTAATTACTGGGGAGCTCATTAATGGGGCTAATTGGGAGCTAATTAACAGGGCTTGTTATGAGGTTAATTACTGGGGAGCTCATTAATGGGGCTAATTGGGGGCTAATTGACAGGGTTCATTCTGGGGTTAATTACTGGGGAGCTCATTAATGGGGATTCATTAACAGGGGTCATTATGAGGTTAATTACTGGGGAGCTCATTAACGGGGGGCTAATTAATGGAGCTCATTCTGGGGGGAGCTCATTAATGGGGTTAATTGAGTGGGCTCATTAACGGGGGCAGTTCTGGGGTTAATCAGGGCGTTAATTAACGGGGGCTCATCAACAGAGAATCGCTAACGAGCCGCTGGTTAACGAGGTTTAATTATAGCGCTAACGGCGTTAATGAACCTGACACACCTGGGGCAGCCTCAGGGCCACGCCCACACTGGGGACACGCCCACAGGGACACACCCAGGGACACCTGGGGACACCTGGGGACACCTGGGGACACCTGGGGACAGGTGAGACACACCCAGGGACACCTGGGGACACCTGGGGACACCTGGGGACACTTGGAGACACCTGGGGACAGGTGAGACACACCCGGGGACACCTGGGGACAGGTGAGACACACCTGGGGACACCTGGGGACACCTGGGGACAGGTGAGACACACCCGGGGACACCTGGGGACACCTGGGGACAGGTGAGACACACCCAGGGACACCTGGGGACAGGTGAGACACACCTGGGGACACCTGGGGACACCTGGGGACACTTGGAGACACCTGGGGACAGGTGAGACACACCTG